CGGAGGGGGCATTAAGTTTTACCCTTGTCCGTCTGTACGTACGTACGTACGTACGTCCCAAAATTGGTGTCCGTTCTCTAACTTTAGTTTGCCTCAACCAAACTTTATTAAGCTTATACACAATGCTTATTACCACAAAACACAGATCAAGCTTGAATTTTGGTAGCGTCACTTTAACTGTTCTAGAGTTATGCCCCTTTACAAATGGAAAATTTGGTGAATTTTTCGTTTCCGTTCTCTAACTTAAGTTTGCCTCAACCAAATGTTATGAAACTTATACACAATGCTTATTACCACAAAACACAGATCAAGTTTGAATTTTGGTGGTGTAACTTATACAGTTCTAGAGTTATGCTCCTTTACAAATGGATAAATTACTAAAATATTTGTTTCTGTTCTCTAACTTAAGTTTGCTGCAACTTAATGTTATAAAACTCATAAAGAATGCTTATTACCACAAAACTCAGATCAAGTACAAATTTGGGTAGTGTCACTTTTACAGTTCCTGAGTTATGTCCCTTTATAACGTTATGTGCAAGCGGGGGCATCATCTGAGTCCCTTGGACACATTCCCCATTTATTAGCTCACCTGGCCCAAAGGGCCAAGTGAGCTTTTCTCATCACTTGGCGTCCGTCGTCCGTCGTCGTCGTCCGTCGTCGTCGTCCGTCGTTGTCCGTCGTCGTTAACTTTTACAAAAATCTTCTTCTCTGAAACTACTGGGCCAAATTTGACCAAACTTGGCCACAATCATCATTGGGGTATCTAGTTTAAAAAATGTGTCCGGTGACCCGGCCAACCAACCAAGAGGCCGCCATGGCTAAAAATAGAACATAGGGGTAAAATGTAGATTTTGGCTTATATCTCTGAAACCAAAGCATTTAGAGCAAATCTGATGTGGGGTAAATTGTTTATCAGGTCAAGATCTATCTGCCCTGAAATTTTCAGATGAATCGGACAACCCGTTGTTGGGTTGCTGCCCCTGAATTGGTAATTTTAAGGAAATTTTGCCGTTTTTGGTTATTATCTTGAATATTATTATAGATAGAGATACACTGTAAACAGCAATAATGTTCAGAAAAGTAAGATCTACAAATAAGTCAACTTACCAAAATGGTCAGTTGACCCCTTAAGGAGTTATTGCCCTTTATAGTAAATTTTTAACCATTTTTCGTAAATTTTTGTAATTTTGTACAAAAATCTTCTCCTCTGAAACTACTAGGACAAATTTAACCAAACTTGTCCACAATCATCATTAGGGTATCTAGTTTAAAAAATGTGTCCGATGACCCCGCCCGCGAACCAACCTAGATGGCCGACATGGCTAAAAAATAGTACATAGGGTAAAATGCAGTTTTTGGCTCATATCTCTGAAACCAAAGCATTTAGAGCAAATCTGATGAGGATATAATTGTTGATTAAGTCAAGATCTATCTGCCCTGAAATTTTCAGACCAATCAGGCAACACGTTGTTGGGTTGCTGCCCCTGAATTGGTAATTTTAAGAAAATTTTGCAGCTTTTGGTTATTATCTTGAATATTATTATAGAAAGAGATAAACTGTAAACAGCAATAATGTACAGCAAAGTTAGATCTACAAATAAGGCGAAATGACCAAAATGGTCAATTGACCCCTTAAGGAGTTATTGCCCTTTATAGTCAATTTTTTACAATTTTCATAAATTTTGTAAATTTTTGTAAATTTTTACAAAGTATTTTCCACTGTAACTACCGGGCCAAGTTCATTATAGATAGAGATAATAGTAAGGAGCAAGAATGTTCAGTAAAGTAAGATCTACAAACACATCACCATCACCAAAACACAATTTTGTCATGAATCCAACTGTGTCCTTTGTTTAATATGCACATAGACCAAGGTGAGCGACACAGACTCTTTAGAGCCTCTAGTTTTTTTATGTATCTGCTGTGAGTTCTGTGTTCTTGGAATTGAAATCACCCTTTTGGCGGACTAGCCAAACTAAGAGATTCAACACATTGGCCATTGTACCAGAGGTAGAGGTAAACATGGACTTTAAAATGGCCCATAACACTTATATCCTAGATCTGTGCGAGTTTGTCAGCGTACGATGGGATACCCCGGAATGTTACTTAGACAAGCTTAACTATTGCCGGCTGTCCAAACTAAGAGATTATCCATGTGGACCAATGTACTAGAGGTTGAGGTAAACATAGCCGTTAAAATGGCCCATAGCACTTATGCCCTATACCCTTACGAGTTTATCAGCATACGAAGGGGGATACCTCGGTATGTTAAAAAGACCAACTTAACTATTGCCGGGTGGCTAAACTAAGAGATTCTCTACGGTGGCCATTGTACCAGAGGTAGAAGTAAACATAGCCTTTTAAATGGTACATAGAACTTATACCCTAGATCCGTACCAGTTTGTCAGCATATAGTTGGGGGTACCCTATATGTCACATAGTCCCATTTTACTCTTTCTGGCTGGACAAACTGAGAGATTATCTGCGTGATCCTTGGAACCAGAGGTAGAGGTAAGCATGACCCATAGCAAAAGCAACCTAGACCTATATGCGTTTGTTAGTATAGGATGGGGTTTACCCGGTATGTGAACATATCCATCATATATTTTTGTAACCATTACCAGCTGGCCATACTAAGAGATTGTCCACATGAAGAATGGTACAAAAGTACGTAGTAGGAAAGTGTCGATTCTGACTTACAAAATTATACTTGATTTTTTTTTTTTTTAAATAATTTTTTTTTTACACGAAACCAAAATTGACCAAAAACATTTAACCACATAATTGAAATATGGCATCAAAATAAAAAAGAGACCTCAATAATGAAAATATGGCATCAAAATAAGGAATATAAACATGATAAAGCATAACTATGGTTGAGGAGGATGATGATACATTTACGAGGGAATCCGTGTTGTGAGAGGAAGCCCAAGAATAAAATCGTTTAGCTTCACCCCACTGGAATGTTTTAATAACATTTTGAATGTGGAAGAGGTCTAGGGTAAGTTTGGAATGACCAAGATTTTGACAATAAAAAAAAACAAAATGGGGAACATTGCAAGTATTGGCTTAAGTACTGGGTAAGTAATGCGTAACAAGTAGACAGACTTGAAAGTGGCATACATGATAAGTAACGGTTTAAAATTGGCTATAAAGTCAAAGCAGGAATATTTTTCTTACTCACTGGTTAGAAACTAAGGATCTTGGTTTGGAAAGAAAAAAGACAAGTCATAATCCAAACAACTGTATTAAAATTTAGGGAAATTTTAAGGAGGAGCAAAAAGTGAAGTGATTTGCGAATGCCCAGAAAGTTTTTTTTATTTCAAATTAAATTTTTTTTGTTAAGAAATTTTTGTAAATATAACATGACATCAATATAAAAAATAAAAAACACCATTAACAAAAGTGGTGTTAGTAATGAAATAGATCAAGTAAAGAAAAAGTGGAAAGGAGTTAAAATTGAAAACTACACCAAGTTATGAAATCTGATAAAGTCTGAAGAATCACGTTGATAATGCTTATATTTGAAAAATCAACTAGAGCAGGAGTTGCCACGATGACTCATAGACATAGTAAAGCTTATAATTCATATATGGTGGACTATGATAAAACACAAACAACTAAATACTTATCTCATTTAGATGCTTATTACAGTTTGGCACAATATTTCCCTAAAAGAGATTTTGATTTGAGTAGATCCATGGGAACAGATTTAGAAAAAAAATTAAAATCAAATATAATTTCGTTAAGTCAGAATCGACACTTTCCTACTACGTACTTTTGTATCATTCTTCATTTCGGTTCTTATACATCCTTGGCTTTCACATATTCGGCTTTTAGTGTTCCTGATGAAGGTAAATCCAGAAAAGCGCTTCGGACGCATGAAATTTATAAAGTGTTGTTTTAATTTTTTTTTCATGTGGACAGTCTCTTAGTATGGCCAGCTGGCAATAATTATAAAAAAATATATGATGGATTACGTCACATACCGGGTACACCCCAACCTATGTTACCCAGTAAAGCCAATACTTGCAATGTTCCATAATTCGGTTTTTTTTGTTGTCAAAATCTTGGCCATTCCAAACTTACCCTTGACCTCTTCCACATTCAAAATGTTATCAAAACATTCAAGTGGGGAGAAGCTAAACACGAAACATCTAGGTTGTTTTTGCTATGGGTCATTCCTACCTCTACCTCTGTTTCCAAGGATCACGTGGATAATCTCTTAGTTTGTCCAGCCAGCAATAGTAAAATGGGACTACGTGACATATAGGGTACCCCCAACTATATGCTTACAAACTGGATCTAGGGTATAAGTGCTATGTGCCGTTTTAAAGGCTATGTTTACCTCTCTCTACCTCTGGTACACTGGCCACCGTAGAAAATCTCTTAGTTCAGCCACCCGGCAATAGTTAAGTTGGTCTATGTCACATACCGAGGTATCCCCCTTCGTATGCTGATAAATTCGTAAGGGTATAGGGCATAAGTGCTATGGGCCATTTTTAACGGCCATGTTTACCTCAACCTCTAGTACAATGGCCCACAAGGATAATCTCTTAGTTTGGACAGCCGACAATAGTTAAGTTTGTCTAAGTAACATTCCGGGATTAACCCCATCGTATGCTGACAAACTCGCACAGATCTAGGATATAAGTGTTATGGGCCATTTTAAAGACCAGGTTTACCTCTACCTCTGGTACAATGGCCAATGTGGAGAATCTCTTAGTTTGGCTAGTCCGCCAAAAGGGTGATTTCAATTCCAAGAACCCAGAACTCACAGCAGATACATAAAAAAACTTATCATTAAAAGGCGGCAAAGTAAAAAAAATAAAATGCTCCGCAAGGCGTAGCTTGATACGACCGCTGACGTCCAACCCTGAACAGTTACAGCTTAGTACAGCTTTGAATTTGGATTGTGATTAAATATTTGACACATCATAACTTGGAATTATTATCTTGAAAATTGATTTAGCTTGAATGAATTGTTGACTTTGTTTCAGGTTTAGAACCAGGAACTGTTGTATTGACAGAGAAGGCAGTCGATGGAGCATTCCAGCCATTCCTATCCACGGTATTTATTTTACTGCCTAGTTTTAGGAATCTAAAAATCGATTGAAACTCTTTAAACGATTATCAAGTTTAAGTATGATAGTTATGCTGTACAGTGTGATGGTTTAGTTTGCTCGAGTTCAATGGTTACGGTGTTCAACGATGGTTCAGTCCGTTCAGCGATAGTACGAGTAACTTAAATGAATTATGACATATGCTAATAAATGACTGTTCAATCAACCAAACTGGAAGAGGTATACAACACCGTTTGTCCCTATGATAGATTTCAAATCAAGAAGTAGAGAACAACAATTCTTTTTGTCCATATTGTATGATGTGATTAAGAATTCCGTTGGAAAGCTGAAGTTGATTAGCCACAACTCTGTTCTAAAAGAAAATTAAATGCGAATTAAATTTTCAGCTGGGAAAAACAAAATTCAGAAAATATATGTTAGAATTCTTGTATGATGAAGATACAATGCCCTGTACCACAATAGTACTAAGGTATGGGAGTTCACGTAGACACGTTCAATGAAGAAATGACCACTAAACTTAACAGGAATTTTAAAAATAAGTAGATCACAGTTAAATGTGGTTTATATGAAATAGCCCGTGATCTCTAGATCTGCTTCTTGATGGTAGTGATCCAGGATTTCAGACTATATCGGATACATTTGAGCACCAAAAACATCACAACTGATACAAAACTTACACATTGATTATTTTGGCTAATTACATCCCCCGGGGATATAGGAATCACACTGTTCATTCGTTTGTCTGTCTGTCCGGGTACCTTGGAAACGCAACTCCTTTTCGGCATGCCAGATAATGATGACACTTTACAATTGTAGAACACTACCTGCGGATGTGCATCAAAGAATATAACACCGGCCTAACATTTAATAGTGGATTTTCTTTTTGCATTGTGCATATATTTGTATTGCTAATATGCCTCAACCCCTCGGCGTATAACTACATTTCTTTAATAAATAAATTTTAATGAAATTAACTTCAACATACTGATAGTATTACTGATCGGGGTATTCTTTGGTGAGTTTTGTGAGTTCACTCGCAGTTCTAGTTCTGCACTAACTTAATTGACAGCAACTGAAATATATTACTAGGTTTTTCAACAGTTTATTGAATTAATTTTGATTTTAACATGGTTAATTTATCAGTGTTGTCTGAAATGACATTTGTATGTATATAGACATAAGAAGATGTGGTATGAGTGCCAATGAGACAACTCTCCATCCAAGTCAAAATTTATAAAAGTAAACCATTATAGGTCACAGTACGGTCTTCAACACGGAGCCTTGGCTCACACCGAACAGTAAGCTATAAAGGGCCCCAAAAATTACTAGTGTAAAACCATTCAAACGGGAAAACCAACGGTCTAATCTATATAAAAAACGAGAAATGTATTGTTAATTTGCAGATGATAATGTTTTGACATTATCTTTGATCGTAATCGGTTCTTGATATGTATTGCCATTATCAAATTATATCATATTCTCGTCCTAAATATGCATTTAATTAGCCACTGTACGTTTAACAGCCATCCATTCATCTACTCTTATTGTCTTACCATATTGTCCTTAGATATATCCTAACATGATTTTGTTCATGAAATGAAAACAAATTTCGTATTAAGTGAGCTACCATAGCAAAAAATTATGTAGAAATTAATGTATCTTCTAGTATTTCTTTATTTTTATGCCCCCGCCGTAGCGGAGGGTGCATTAAATTTTACCCTTGTCCGTCTGTCCGTCCGTACGTACGTTCGTCCGTCCGAACGTCCCAATATTGGTTTCCGTTCTCTAACTTTAGTTTGCCTCAACCAAATGTTATGAAACTTATACACAATGCTTATTAGTCCCCTACCGACGAAGTCGAAGGGGACTTTAGGTTTGCACTCCGTCCGTCTGTCTGTCTGTCTGTCCGTCTGTCTGTCTATCTGTCTGTCCATCTGTCAGTCCAGCAAATCAGTTTTCCAGACTTTTTTTCTTCGTGCTTGAAGATATTGATTTGATATTTGGTTTATTGATTTATCATGACAAGTTACAGGTCAAGTTCAATTTTCACGATTATAGCTTTTCTCTTTGTTCAGTTAAAGTCCTTTCCCTAGAATTAAATTTTTGATGAAATACTTATTAATTAGTAGATTTCTGTTCAAAGGGAAATAACTCATTTTTATTTAAAAGATTTTTAAAAGACAAAATGACATTTTGGATTTTTTTCCTTTTCTTTGGTAAATTGTTTGAAGAATTTAGTGGTAGGTTTGTTTGTCATTTTAGAAGATATTGATTTGATAATTAGTATATAGTATTATCATGACAAGTTACAGATCAAGTTGGAATTTTGTTCCAGTCTGATAATTTTGTGCAGAGTTATGGTCTTTGGACATAGAAAATTCACTTAAATAATCAGTTTTCAACAGTTTTTTTCGTCATGCTTGAAGATATTGATTTGATATTTGGTTTATTGATTTATCATGACAAGTTACAGGTCAAGTTCAATTTTCACGATTATAGCTTTTCTCTTTGTTCAGTTAAAGTCCTTTCCCTAGAATTAAATTTTTGATGAAATCTTTATTAATTAGTAGATTTCTGTTCAAAGGGAAATAACTCATTTTTATTTAAAAGATTTTTAAAAGACAAAATGACATTTTGGATTTTTTTCCTTTTCTTTGGAAAATTGTTTGAAGAATTTAGTGGTAGGTTTGTTTGTCATTCTTGAAGATATTGATTTGATAATTAGTATATAGTTTTATCATGACAAGTTACAGATCGAGTTGGAATTTTGTTCCAGTCTGATAATTTTGTGCAGAGTTATGGTCTTTGGACATAGAAAATTCACTTAAATAATCAGTTTTCAACAGTTTTTTTCGTCATGCTTGAAGATTTTGACTTGATATTTTTATGTAGTTTACACCATGACAAGTTATAGATCAAGTTAGAATTTCGTTCCATTACAATGAATTTGTAACCAGTAGGGGACTATGTATTGCCATGCAATACTCACAGAATGCTTGTTTTGTATAAACTTTTATGACTTGTATTTTGGATTGAAAAAGCACAATCGCACCAAAATAGCAACTTATTTGGTAAAATTAAGAAAACGTCTGTAAATTGTAAATACATGGTAAAAAGTGGAATACATTTTTAGCCTTCTATTACCCCTGGATAAATGGCTCATTTTGTAAACAGGGACCCTTAGTCTGTTACCTGGACGACTAAGCTAATTGTATACAGGAAATATTTAGGAATAAAACGTTTATATGTGAAAAAAAACCCCCAAAAAAAACGTCTGTTATACTGCTATCTCCGAACAGCGCTAATCCCCGAAATTTCCGATTTATTTGTTGTTTTACTTAAGCAGCTAACTCAGGAATAATGGCTTCCGCTATTTCATGAATCTCAAAAAGAGGTAATGCTGAAACATTTGAACCTCCATATAAGTCATTAAAATCTGATGGAACAGGAAATTAACTGCAAACGACCCGAGATGATATATTAGGTAAAATTACTGGTGTTTCAGTGCTTATTATTTGTCCTGATAAACTAGATTGATCATATACTAAATAATTAAGAATAAATCTGTGGCGGACGAAATGGGGGAGCAGCATTTCGGCTATCTAGGAAACCTATAGTTTGCAATTTTCTAGAAAATCATGAGTGTATAATATTCCTGAAAGTGTTATTCGTGGTTAACCATGTTATAAAGGTGACAATATACAGGTGCGAATCCATGATCCGAGGAAAGGAGGGGTGCTTTATTGTCAAGTGGTAAACAACGATTTTAAGCACAAACAAAAAAATAAATTTTCAGATCAAAGAGAGGGACATACGCCCTCTACGCTCAAGTTAACTTATGCTTTTTGCCTAATTAAGAGCTTATCCCTGTTAGTCATAACGAATGGCATATGTTGGCATGACCTCTGCTATGCACCGTACAAAAAAAACAATAGGCGATCAAGAGTCTGACAGCATAGAGGGGTTGGTGGGTAACATCTATTATTTTTATTGCTGGAAGAAGACGTTCAAGTCTTCTGAAATCCAATATTGCTTGATGGTCAAGTCTAAACATAGAACTTTCTAGGAGTGTTTCAGTATTCCTTTCAGTGCTTTACAATTTTATAACTTCCATGCCTCATCTCGACACCGATTTGTAGACCTGTCCCTTTTCCGTCGTATTTTATAACGCCCCGCCGTATTTTGTTATCGGATCTGCGGTTCATCGTTTAGTAAGACAATTTCATTTATTTTCCTTGGGACAAAACCAAAATTTTAATGGCCGACATTTATTTAGTTTCGTAATTATGTTTGAACAGTTTTGAAGCGACAGAGTATAAATACGGTTCATGGTTGAACCTATAGTTCAACCTATAGTGCATAACAAGATTATGTGGGGTAGACGAATCCGGCCTTAAAATGATCAAATTGACTTTTTATGTACAAAAATAGGCAGATTGGTCATATTTTGACTTTATTAATTCGCTGCAATCATTTGGATTAAATTGGACTGATAACAGCTTAATGAGACTGAAAAATGCTATTTTCTGTTAAAACACACAAGCTATTTTTCTTTTTTCCTGACTGATGTTGCCCATTATTCTCAAGACTGGATGTAACATATACAGACTCTAGATAAAGAACATTGGTTTTATCGTATTTATTAAAAAAAATCAAATTCGACTTAACCTTTAGTACAATATCAGGGCAGAAAACTAGACAACTCATAACTATAGTGGTTAATCTACAAACAAGAGTAATTTTATAATTTCTTAAAGATTTTTTAACTTCGGAGCTAGAGATGCCATCCTTGTCTTCATAAACAATAATTATTGTTACGTAATCAAATTTCGTGTGCTTACAGAATACACACAGGACAAATTTGAACAGGTAACATTACGTAAGATTTAATAACAATGACCAGTCCATATCAAATTGAGTGTCAGGTGTAAATTTGGTAGGGAGAAAATGAGAGATTTTTTAATACAATTTCTTGTTAATACTACAA